TCTTTCTTTCTTTCTTTCTTTCTTTCTTTCTTTCTTTCTTTCTTTCTCTCTCTCTCTCTCTCTCTCTCTCTCTCTCTGTCTCTGTCTGTCTCTGTCTCTGTCTCTGTCTCTGTCTGTCTCTGTCTCTGTCTGCGAGAGAAGGACAACAGGAGGGCAAGGCCTGGAGACAGAGCCCGGGCGCCAAGAGAACAAGAGGAGGACAAGAGGAGGACAGGGCCTGGGACAAGAGGAGGACAAGGCCCAGCCACAGAGCCCAGCCACAGAGTTGACAGAGTTCAGGGGCGCGGCCAAGAGGAGGACAAGGCCGAGCCACAGAGCCCAGCCACAGAGCCCAGCACAGAGTTGACAGAGTTCAGGGGCGCGGCCAAGAGGAGGACGAGGCCCAGCCACAGAGCCCAGCCACAGAGTTGACAGAGTTCAGGGGCGCGGCCAAGAGGAGGACAAGAGTAGGACAAGGCCCAGCCGAGCCCAGCCACAGAGTTGACAGAGCTCAGGGGCGCGGCCAAGAGGAGGACAAGAGGAGGACAAGGCCCAGCCACAGAGTTGACACAGAGTCAGAGCCCAGCCACAGAGTTGACAGAGTTCAGGGGCGCGGCCAACAGTAGGACAAGAGGAGGACAAGGCCCAGCCGAGCCCAGCCACAGACCCCAGCCACAGAGTTGACAGAGTTCAGGGGCGCGGCCAAGAGGAGGACAAGGCCCAGCCACAGAGCCCAGCCACAGAGCTCAGCCACAGAGCCCAGCCACAGAGTTCAGGGGCGCGGCCAGTGAGTGTGGCCAGCTCTTTTCCTTCTAAGATAGAACCCCAACAGCAAACTGTTTGGGGAAAAATGCTTTTGCACGAGGCCCCTGAACAGGATAACTAGAGAAAGAGGACACGTGAAAGCACGGGCCTGCAAGGGTACCAAAAAGTTCTTCCAAGCAAGTCCTGAATTACTGCCATGCCAAGCGTTTCTTCTCAGCATTTCTGCTCATGATTGCTTCAGCAGCTTGAAGACGCCTCGACTGTAGCAGCACCATCTGTCCTTTCCACTCCATCAAAGATCGAAGCTGACACCGCCTCGTTCTGTCTGCAAGCCGAAGCCTCACGAAACAAAAGTACAGTAAGTCAACACAGGCCAAGGATGAACAGCAAACAGCAAACCACTCTTGCACTGTGTTTCCGACTGAATCTTGTCAACGACATGGGCCAACTGGTTGGGCTTCCATTTCCCACCAACCTGGCCTGAGCGAAAGCTCCGCTGCCACCTGCCAGGCCCAATCGCAGAAGGTCCGGTACATCGTCGCGTGCTCCGCGCGCATCTCCAGGCGTGTCCTCACAAAGGGCCGCGCCGAGCTGGCCCCAGCCGGCCGTGGAACCCGTTGAGCCCGTTGAGCAGGCCCCACCCCTTCGGTCGAGGATGCAAAGTAGTAATGGCCCCAACCTAATAGCGATGGCCTCCAACCTAGTAGCGTCCTTGCTCCTAGTAGTAATGGCCTAATCGTGCTTGGAGGTGTTGCCAAGGTCTTCCAACCCCTTCCAGTCTGAAAGAGATGTCATTACCCCTAGCTTTCTTCCGACGCCCGCATAGGTGGATGGGTGGGACTGTCCCTGATCTGTCCTTCGCCACAGCCGCTCTGAGCACAGCTGCCGCCACGCGCCCAGCGCTCCCTCCTCCTGTGCGTGGTTCCTCCGCGCGGCCGCGCGACGCAGCGCCTGCAAAGCGCTGGAGCGGAGGCGCCACGCAGCAAGCGCCTACGATTCATTCGGGTTGGATGGCACATCGGGTTGGATGGCACTCCATCCACAAGTCAGTCAGATGAAGCGTTATGGTGTGGCTTCAAGAGATCTGGTAAAACGCGATTCAGGTCCGAATGCCCAGTCTTGGCCGGCCTTGCCGCAAGTCTTGACCTGGGTCGTACATCCACCTACACAAGTCTCACAGCATATGCTAACACCAAGTGTTGAAGCCAAATTGGTTGGCTTCCACGTTTGGTTGTCTTGCATGCCCTGATCTTAGCTCCGCACCATCAATTGGCATCGTTGAAGCGAAAGTATCCTCTCGTGGGGGGAACCAAGCCGCAAGGAACTTTGAGGTGCCAAGCCAGGCCACAACTCAGCAACAACTGCAGCCCAAACAAGTCATTTGAGGCCCTTGCATCCGCCCAAGTTTGCTTGGTTTCCAAGCTCAACACACTATAGTCTGCCAAAGGCTCCGAGCTGGCCCTATCTCCAGCGAAGAGTCAGTCCTTCGACACTTAGAACAATATGCCTTGGTCTGAGGCTCAGCTGCCAGAGTCGCTTGCACACTTGGAGCAGTAAATGCTCGATGGTTACAGTGAATGGTTGAAGTCTTGAACTTTAACTGCCCCTCACTTTAACAATTAACAGTTTTTTGTCAAGACTCGGGAATCTGCCGCACCTCCATGGCCTCTCTGTAGCTTCGGCCTTTCGTCGCTCTGAGCTCCCAGCCGCCGCCCGGCTCCAAGCAGCCAGGACTATCCCACACTGGCGAAGTCCGCACTGACGCGCCATCAGGCGGATGCTGCAGCTCCGCCTCCAGAATTTGAGCACCAAAACCGCAGAAAAGTTGAGACGGGGAGGTGGATTGTAGGATTATATAGTGGATACCCAACTCCAGTTTATGCATCAACATGCATCAATACACCAGGCTCCACTCGAAAGGGACCGGAGCGGAGCCTGACTCCTTGGCGCCAGGCGTGGAAGATTCGCCCCTTTCGGGCGCTGCCCACAAGGCGGCCATGCACCTGGGCGAGCGAGCCACTAGAGGTAGCGTGCGTGTTTTCATGGTTCAGTGGCGAAGCCCAAAAATGATTCAAAAGGACCGGCAGCTTGTGATAAATGCGGGCCTTGTGTATGTTTTTTCGTCAAGAAACTGGAGAACCAAACAGCTCAAACAGCGGAACCGCCTGCCCGATGGCTGCGAGCTTCCAACGCTCAAGGGTCCGCCTGGCAGACTGCAAAGGTGGCTCAACTCGACTCAAAGAACAAATGAGGATGCAGCCACAAGAAGGGTCTTCTTGGCCATCGCTAGTAGGTTGGAGGCTATTAGGTGCAAGCTCCGAATCTCAGAGGTCTCGGCCTGCAAGCTCTAGGTACGATCTCCTCCTCTCGGAAACATCGGCCGTGCAAGCGGCTCCGGCGACGCTTGGAGATCAGATGAGACCTTGGCCAAAGGCATCAGAGGAAAAAGGAAACCAACCGAGAGGAATGGTATTGTATTATGACCTATGCCATTCGACAAGGCTTTGGCTAATCAAATGTCCGTGTCCATATAGGGTGCCTATTGCCCACGTCTCTGGTTCTTTGGGGAGCAGAGACCTTGTCAGCTTTGGAGCTGACGAATGAACATCCTGCATCCTGGACTGGCACCCACTGAACACCTGATGACTCAATGACGCTCCTTTTTCCACCGTTGATTGCAATCCTGATGCCTGCAAAGAGAAAGAACTCCTGATGTCCTGATGCCTGTCCAAACTTGCAGCCCCTTGGTCGACACCAAGATGAGATGGGCTCTGTAATGCTCTGTCCGTCTTTCAATTCAATCGAGCTTCCTGAATGGTGCTTCTGCGTGCCTCAGACTGATGGCCAAAGCATTCATCTACGGGATCTGCATCAACTCAACTCTTCCAGTTGAACCAACCTTGCGGCTTGCGGCTGACCAGCGCAACATTCCTGCGTAGCCAACGCTCCTCTGGGGGCAAACATTCCTGCACCACAAAAGCCGCCACGTCCGCACGGGGGATGGTAGGATAGAAGCCACAAGCATCTTCAGCTGCATGCCATGCGCGCAAGCCTGGAGAATCCAGCAAACCTCCCGGCCTCACCACCACCCAATTCTTAAGGCTTCGGACCATCTCTTCCTGCAAATGCTTATCTGCGAGGGCCTCTGGAATGATCCATGAGGCAAAAAACTTGGCGAAAAGGCTGCAGTGCTGATAGTGGTCACCCACACCGATAGAGCTGATGCACACCACCCGCGCCGCGCGTCCGTCGCTGCTGTTCAGTGCCTCATTGATGAGGCGCTGGGAAGTGCTGCAAACATCGACTCCTGGGCCTCGAGGTGGCCCTCCTAAGCTCACAATCCTTGGTGGGGACCATCAGTTGGAGGCCGTTTCTTCGCCCGCAACGGAACCAGGGGTTCTTTTGGATGGTTTGCGTGAATTCCTATGGCATGGGGATGGACATCGCCATAGATTCCACGTGGAAGACTGTGGCATTCTAAATTAACTTTTCATCTACCATCCACGTGGCCTTTGGCAAGGAACTTCGGAACTTCCTTCATTTTGGAGCACGTCACGTTGGAGGGGCAAGCAATATCGCACACAAACAGGACTACAAAGGCTTTGAACATCACTGAACAATGATTAAGCACACCCTTCCCGCCCTTGCATCTGAGGAGCACAGCTTCTGCATCCGCACAGGCTTCTTGCACAGCGGCAGCATCTGTAGAAGAGCCTGCAATCAACTCCACAGCAGGATGCTGCCGCAAATCCTGCAGTGCGTGCAGGGTGCATGGTCGAGCGAAACCACCACCTTGGCACCCTCAAAAGCTCAACTTCTGACTGAAACTTTCCTTTAGACTCATGGCGACTCATTCCTCATCTTTCGATCCGCCCCGATCCTCCGCTCCTCGGGCAGCTTCTCAGGGCTCCGCACCAGGCACCGCACCGTGGCCGTGGCCGTGAGGCGCCGCAGCAGCTCCACGCCGGTGCTGCCGGTGGCGCCGAAGAGGCTCACGCGCATGGCGGCTCTTCGGACGGACTGGGGCGGTGGGCTCAGGTTGGCCACGGTTCCAAAAGTGATGCAAGGGGGTATGGCGGATATGGATGGGTATGTGTCATGAACATGGAATGAAACAGGGACTAAGACTCACGTGCATGTGCTTCATTTTGAGCAGGCTGGGGTGCTTTTGTGCCCGGAAGAGCTGCCAACATTGCCAAGCCTGGCAGCAACTGCTGGAGGAACTCGATAAGAACTTCTTTTCTGTTCCCTTGAGCGACAGTTTCTTTTTCTCTCCACAGCAATCCTGGTAGCGATGCCCCTTGCTCCTAGTAGCGTCCTTGTTACAGCAAGATCCATCTTGATTCTTGATACCTTCTTGCACATCAGAATCAGTCGTTAAGCCTAGCCACCAGGAAAGCAAGCTCTTTCGCATCAACCGCAAGGCCCAATGGGCTGCAGCTGCCAGAACCTCAAGGCTTTTGAGTGAAAAAACTCGTGGTCTCCACACCATACTCGTCGATCATCGCTCGGTTTGCACCTCTCAAACTTCCGTTCAAACGCTGATTGTCGGCTGAATCTTTGGCTTTTTGCAGCCAAAGAGTGAAATAGCAAACCAGGTCCAATCAGAATCTGCGGTGGATGGTCGTGGAAGTTTTCCATCCTTCGGAATCCTTTGGAATTGGGTTGGTGAGCGGCGCGTCCATTGACGTCGTCCTCTCTCATCCCTCTGCCCAGTTGAAAAGCCCGACCTCCAAGTCCCATCGAGGATCTTTCTCGAGGATCTTTCCCTCGGCCTCGAACGGAACAACTCGGACTCTCTGTGCTGGTTTTGCGCTGTCGGTCCCTTGGAAAGGCATCCGCGATTTAAAGAAATATAATCATAATTTAACAATTATAGAACATGCTTTGCCACATTACGCAGGTCTCTGAGGAACGGTTCTTTACGAAAGGCGCGGCAAACGCCCTAGAACGGTAGAACCGCCGTAAAACCGGATAAAAGCGAACATGTCTATGAATTCTGGACCGTATCGAATTCCAACTGCAAAAATCGCGAAAAATGAAAAGACACATGTTTACAGGTTTATCGCCCCAAAGCAAATAAATCTCCAAAGGAAAAGCATAATACAGTAAATAAAAATCTTAAACGTCGATAATTTTAGCTGCTTACCGCATTGCCCGGGTCCCCCTGCTATGGATTCTTACTGAAAGAATCCATTAGGCGGTGCAAAAATGGTAGAGATCGATTATATTCACCCCTTTTCTCTGCGGGGAGTGCGAGCGAGTACCTGCAAGCAAAACAACGTGAACCGGCTTCGTGGGCTGCCCATGTCCAATCAAAAGCCTTCAATACAAAGCACCAAACAAGATACTGCGGTACCCAAAACTGCCTTTAACTCCCGCCATGACCAAGCCTGGACCCCAAGTCCTTTCGGAAAAAATTAGAAGACTGCACGTCCATTTCATGGCAGGTAAAAATCCCACGTCGCTCACAAAACCAACAACGTTCAATTCAATACAAGTGATTTTTCGCGAGCCAAGGTTCCTCGGGTCTGAAGACTACCACTCCCGCAGTCATGATGACATGACAGTCCAACCATGAGGAGCAGGCTCAAGATCAAGCACCACAAAACCTTGTCTTCCGCATTTGGTGGCCTTCCAATCGAAACTGCTCACTTCGCTCATGCGCTAGTTTGTTTTGGGGTCAGCATTATCTGCATGTTGAGGATCACCTGCTGGTGGTCCAGTAGCTCTGTGCACGTATTGCTCCTCCCGTGAACAAAAAATGCCTGTGCCTTGCACAGGGGACCTCGGGGCTTGTAGAGGCCCACATCCGCCCACACGGGTCTCATGAGAATATCTGGCACCGCTGCTGGAGCATAGAGCATGTCTTGTTTTTCAATTCCTCAGCAGGTCCAATGACTTTGAGTACGTTGAATCTCCGAGCCAAGCAGGTCGATGCCGGTCGCTGCCGAGCCTTACCATGGTATTCAGAAATGGTACAGCTTCAGTACATGGAGTTTGGATCCATATGTCTCCTGCGAATGGTGCTGAGACCAAAGGGGCCAGCCATAAGGGGACCATTTTTGGGGCACAGTGGTACTTGTCTGACAGCCAGAAGGTCTTCCCTCCCAATTCACTGGATGTCCGAAATTTCCGCTCAACGGCATCTTTTCACAGCAAGCTGGAGGTAGGCTTCGCCTGGCACAGTTCGAAAGCGCACATCTGGCCCAAGTTCACCCGGACATCTTGAGACTTGAGACCAGCACAGGCCTTACGCGCGTATGGCTGAAGAATCATATGGCTTACAGCCACCTGCAAAATAAGAAAGGTCTGAAAATCCAGCTGCAGCGCCCTCCACCCAAAACACCCGATGGACTCCCACTCCATCCATCTCCATCCACTCCACCCCAGCCTGTAGACCTGACTTGCTGAGAAGCCTTCGAGGGAAGCGAAAACCGGATCTCATCGAAAAAGAACCATAAGAAAGGAGCGTCCTGTCAGTACCAAATGTTAACAGTGTTGGTAATGTAAGCAAGGTCATCTCATGTCATCTCTCTTAGACATACCCTTCCCATTTTCAGACTCTACATCTGCCCAGGCCTCCTGAAGTCTTCGCTTAAGCCATAGGTCCTCAGGAAAAGCTCGCCTCAGCCGGGCAAAGACTGCTTCATGTGTCACATATTCACTTGTCACTGGCCCTATGGGTTCACCTAGCTCACCCAACTTCCGACCGGATCGATGCTCCGTCTGGGTCGCCCCAGCAACGCTGGAAGCATCTAGCGTCATGGCCACTGAGAGCAATGGCCAAGGCCTTGAGGGTCGGCTCGCATCGTCATTGGCAAAATGTCCCGGCCAACTGGGATCCAACAGGTTTTCTTCGAGATGTTTTGGATGGAAAGCTGTTTGTTGCAGTCATTGAGGCACCAGGCCAGCATCATAGAGCGCTTTCCTTGTAGACCAGCAGCTAGTGGGAACTGGCGGCTTCGACTGTCACAAGTGTCATAGCCGTCTTTTTTTTGTATGGTGCAGGAGAAAAAAGAATGGGCACATCAACAAGCACACCGGTCCCTTCTGCAAAGTGCTAGAATTGGCTGGAAACTCCAATGGTTGGGACTTTTGCCTCTTTCTCAAAGAAAGATATGTGCGACCTGACTGCAAGGAAATGTATTTGACAGGCTCTCCAAACGGCTAGCTTGCCTGACGACCCCGGGCGCGCACAAAGCTGATCTCTGCAAGAACAGAGATCTCAGCTGTCGATGTTCCAGTGTAAACATGGGTCAAAGCCATCAAGGAGGCATGTGCTTCTTCGGCAAAGCTCCCCAAACACAATGGACTACTCTCATCAACCCCCGCAATGAGCTGGATGCTGCATGCATCCCCAGTTCTACAAACACCTCGATTGTACAAACAAAGGCCGTCACAATGTTCTGCTTCTTCGCTTCTGCTGCCACGCGCCTCGCCTGCACTGGTTCGAGCTTTAAGCTCTCCTAATTCTCCTAGAACATCGGATTGGCACCAACTGGCTGTCAAAAGTCAAAAGCCAACTCACCCCCAGAAACCCCTGACCGGGGAGGGCCGTTGATTGGCACTGGACTCGTTGCGAAAGTCTCGTTGGGAGGTCAACCAGACAATCCTTTGAGCTTGTGGAGAACTCACATACAATCCCTCTCTTTTTTGATCAGGTCCGGTGCCTCAGATGCAAAGATGGTGATCTTGACCCAAGTTTAGAAACCAACTCCCTGAAGCGCGCAAAGCGCGGGGAGCACGGAGCCTGAGGCATCCGGTCACAGGTCTCGTAGAGGCTTTCGGCCTGGCCGTTCACTCGGTGATACCACCATGAGACGCACTGCCCGCCATCGACTTGCACGGGCTCGGCCGGCGATTGGCGCCGGCCTTGGGTTGCAATTGTCACAATATGTGATATGTATATAATATATATATATATACATATCTTCTATATTGTGTTATATGTGTTTTTTGCATAAGCAGTTGTATAAGTAACTGGAGAACCCCAGGGGGAGACCTCCCTGACCTGGCCCAGCGGCCGATGTTTTAGGCATGAAGCGGAGTTTCGTGCTTCGTTCTTGGGAGCCCTGTGCTTAGAACAAACTCATCAAGCGCTGTAACAGCGACTTGTTTGGATCCCCGAAAGAATGCTTGGAGCCTCCCAGTCCGGGCATCAGTCATTTTTTCAGCTGGCGATTCTAGACGCTCTCAGCAAAGACCCAGGTGCAGTCAATCTTCAATCCAAGTACCTAACTTCGCACGGCATGCTTGTTTGAAAAGAATTCACCATGCCCTTCTCAATGCCAAAGGGCATGAGGCTGGAAACTGCCATCTGCGTCTCTAAGTTTGACCCCTGTCCCGCCATGATGCTCTCTTCAGCGGCTGCAAGAGACCAAACAAATGCTGTAGCATCATTAAGCCGTTGTGCCAAGCTGCAAATGTGATCTGCTCGTTCGCACATATCACGACGAGTGACCGTCTCAGTGCAGTATGTCGCCTGCTTTGGGTCGGCACCAGTCTTCAAAGCGCAGCGGCCTTGCAGGGGAGGATAAGATAAAAGGCCAAGGGCTCAATCCAATGAACAATTCATATATTCACAAAGAAAGCCGTCGTGTTCCCCACCTCGAAGAACTCCTGAGAAGGCGACGAGCTCAACATCCCCCCAACCCCATGCCACTTCGAGATATGTTATGTCACTTTAACACGTGAACGGGCAGCAAGGTACGTAGCAAGACTGACAAGCTTGTGATTGCAATGTGCAGCTCTCTGGCATCCAAAAATGCAGATAGGGAGCCAACAGTCCATTTGCAATTGGGAGAGAGGCAGGTATCGAAATCTGGCGTGCGCCTGAAGCGAACCAGTGCAAAGAATGCAAGAAGGAGCACTTGGACTGCCAGTGGCCATGACTTAACAACACTTCACATGACCGCATGGCCCAAATCTGAACCGTCTCTCCCTGTCCATCATGCCTGCACCATTTCTTCATGTGTGGTAGTCCACCCTCCTTCAGATCGCAATAGCCAGGATCCACCTTACCCTCCTGCAACGAGGAAATACTGTATATACTACTGTGCATCACACCGCCAACAGGTTGGAAGTTGAGAAACAGAGCTAGCACAGCTAGCTGGCTTGGCCCTAATCGAAGGAACAAGAGACGTTCAAAACGTGGATTGATAACATTCCCGTTGCACTAATACTATATATTATATTATATAGGCTAAAGGCAGTTGATGGCAGCTGGGCATGCATGCAAAGTATTCTGCTGGACTGATGCAATTCTGGGCCACCCCACCAACCACATACAGAACTTGAATGCCGTGCAATCAGATTCACTTTTATACCTTGGATGCGCTAGGTTCTGTAATTGGAATGTGCTTTCGAGTGTGCAAAAGTCAGCAACAGCAAAGTGAATGTTAAACACCAGAATGCCCTCTGCAATGACCTTCCTCGGAGCCATCTTCTTTCTGCGCATCACAATAGCCAGGTTTAGGGGGGCTGTCAAACGGCCACATCTTCTCCGACCTCAGAGTTGGACATGTCATCGCTTCAACATGAGCAGTTGGTCAAAACCACTGGGTTGGTCAAGACCACTTTCTCAAGACAAGCTTGCTAGACAACCGGATTACACTTGCAAGCCTTCCTACCAAATTCATCTGCACTTCAGGCTGAAACCAGAAAATCCTGCGCTTCCTGCTTCCTGACAAAGGATACGACAATCGGCCATCGGAAACCAATCCATCAGAAGTCCTTCCTCTTCAAACAGGGCTGATGTTTGAATATCCTGACCCACCTGGTGTGTACTTAATCTAGGAAGCTGAGCATTGAAAACAAGCGCCGATTCAGTGCCTCAGTGCTTACCAGGAAGCTTTGGACATCTACATGGAACAAAGGTGGTATGGTTGATGTAACACTGGTCACTAGTAATACCGTACCTGTAGAGCACTGATCTTATATGTGGATTACTCCTCGACCTCCTTCAAAAAAATACACTCCTCCAAGCAGCCCTTTGGTATCACGCATTGCCAGAGTCTGAATCAGCAGCATGAAGAAGACTGCTGCTCGCATCGTGAAGTAAGTTGACAAAAAGAACGACAAAATCTAGCCCAGTGCTTGAGATGCGTAGCTGCGCAGAAGCGGCAAAAAATGCTGCAAATATGTCGTACTCCTGAATTCCCAGCAGGTCCTAGCAGTACAAAGGACAAACGCGAAATGGAACAAAGAAGACATGTCCACACGACACACAACGCAATAAGGACTCAGGGGAAGGAAGCAAGCATCAATCATTCAGCTACATAAAACAAATCCTTTAGCAAGCAAGTGTGGCAGGATTCCTCTTTTCGAACTCCCTTCTTGACGGCATGTTCAGGCGCTGTGAGCAGCACCGCCTTTAAACCAAAATGAAGGGCTGGCAATGTCGATAGCCTTCTTTGAGCTGTTCCAACATCGTCACCCACACCAGGCGCAAGCCATCACAGCCCGAAAAAATATAGAACTAAAATAGACTCTAGAATAGCACGATTTCCAGGACTTTGGGTACTTTAGTCAATAACACATGTGGGGGCATGCCGCCCCCGGCAAGCCCTAACCACCAGCCATCTCTTGACACATCTGGATGTCTCCACCAGCGCCAGGGTTGCCCCAAGTAATCACCAGATCATCCGCACGGAGCGCTGCGAAGGCAGCAAAGGAACCTCGGCTGTTTCCATAACTTTCATGGTTTTCCAAGCACAACAATTCTCAGTTATTCAATTCTCAGAAAAGCTTTGGAGAATTACAGGAGCCTATTGAAAGCCTATCCTGCAGGCGCAACAAAGGCCACTGCAGCTCAGTTGCCTGCTACTTGGTGAATGTCCCGGAGTTGCTCCTGAAGAAAATGAAGAAACCTCCATCATCTGTTCCATTCTTATGATTCTTTGAAGGGACGACAGACTGTGTCCATTCTCTATGGACACTTAAAAAAGTGCCATGGGCTGCCCGCAGCTACGGAGTTGCCCCGTCCTGGACGCTTTGGGAATGTCCACCATTCTCAGGATGTCCCCAGCTTACAACTGTGCCGTCGTCACGGATGGCTGCGAACGCATGGCTTGTGGCAGCGACAGACCGCACGTCCCGAAGCTGCTCCTGGATTCGCAGGTTCCAAGTTGCTTTGCGCGGAAGCCAGATTGTGTCCACCAAAGTGTTGGCCCCACACGTCAACTCCTGTTCTTGGTTCTTCTGAAAGACATGGGAGGGAACCTGTCGAGTGGTCCCGAACACTGGTAGCGGGCCGGCTAGATGCTGGTGGTCTCAAAGACCAAGTTCACTCACGAGGGAACCGCTGAAAAGGAAACCTCTCCTGTGACACAGAAGAGGTTATGAGCCGTCCCTGTTTTCACTCACTTCATGGCGTCCGCGCACAGCCCAGTTTGAGCTAATCCGTGCATCGGTGGAGAGATGGACACATGAGTTGGAATGCTAGCCATCACAAATTCTACATGGCTCTCAATTTCTTTTTGCTTCCAACTCAACTGATTCTTCGTTCGCATCATTCGTTTCTTTTTCGCTGACACAAAGTCAGGATCAAAGCTTATGCCAATGCAGCATCTCTTCAACAATTGAATGAGTTTGTCAACCGAGAACAACTTCGTCAGATCATCCCCAAACATTTGATCCGAATCTACCCATTTAAATCCGGTCTTCGTCCGTTCACAGCTTTCTCTAATGGACAGCACGTCCAAACACAAGCGTCGTTCTTCAAGTTGGAGGCCGGAAGAAAGAATTCTGGTCACCGAATCAAACATGTTTTTGGCATCACAAACGATACATCCACCAATCTTCGAAACCGAGTCATCTGAGGTCTTTGCCGTGATACCTTCACGATGATGAATTTCAAACCAGAGTTGTCTGATGAATTCGTTTTCGTCCACCCCGTTCCCACATGATTGAATCTCGGCGCTCGTAGAAGATCTAGCTATTCGTTTCAATTTTCGGGAATGCCAAGACACCAAACTAAAGGGGGCCTTTTGTCCATCTAGAACTCTGCGGCCGGTCAAGAACGTGATAGTTCCTCCCTGCGATGACAAGTCGGCACGATTGGCACGCGATGCGTCCGAAAGCGTGGGAAAAAGGGGCTCGTGGATATCTCTAGCAAAAGTCAAACCAAGTTCACAGTGGGCCCTTTGAAGCCGACGCAACTTGTTTGCGTGAAGTATGTCCTGTACTTTTGCCGTGTGCTGATGTCCTTGGAGTATGGACGTTGAAGCTGAGATCCACGGAGCGGTCTGTTCCACGCCAGGCCAGACTACGCAAAAGTCCTCGAAGAGCCTTTTTCTCGTCGAGACTGGCATCCGATTCTGGAGATTATTTCCTCTCTCTATCAAGATCAACCTCGTTGACTCCTAGAGCATACCTTTCTTGTTTAAGTTGTATCTTATCTTCTTTTTGACTCAGTTCACAACCACAGAAAACAACCTTTTCTTTGCACGGATCCTTCCAGGATCCAAAAGGAAAAACCGATTGCAATCTCCTTATACTGTCCTCATAGATGTTGCCAGCTCCACCGCACACTACGTCGTCGACGTGAATGCCCAGGACTCCAGTCAAGCGGTCTTTGTCAAAGAGACGCCAGACGCAGTTGTCCAAGGTGCAAGGAATCCAACCTAACTTTTTCAGTTCCTGAGACAGTTTTTCCATCCACCTACGCGGGGCGTTCAACAAACCGTAAACTGCTTTTCGAATTCTAAACAACTGTTTGGAACCCATTTGAAGCATTTCTTTCACGTCTTCAGGAGGATTACTGTAGATTTCCCGACTCTCCTCAGTGGGATCAGAATTCAAAAAGGCCGTTTTGATGTCTCCCAGAGAAATCTTCCACTTGTTCATAGCACATATGCTCAAAATCAAGTTTCTACCTAGGACCGAAAGCGTTGGAGCGTCACGGGGTACCTTCAGCAAGTCAGGATCTTCGATCCTTTGACTATAAGACGGGCTTTCGCTTTCTTGCCGGCGACGACACCTTCCTCATCAGTAATATTTTTCCCAACAAGAACCCATCTCATACCCAAAATTCTTTGAGGGTCCACACCCTGTGCCTGAGCGATGGAAACTGCCATGTTTTCAATGTAGCTGTTGACCTCCTTCCTTTTAGCCTCTAGGAACTCTTTCGTGTCTTTTTCACTCAGTTGTTTAAACTGAATCTCAGCACCTCTCTTAGCAATCGCATTCACTACCCAGCAACCCTTGCCACGGCGATCGAGGTGAACATCTCTAGCACTAAGATTGAGGATAATTTCAACTCCATTCACTTGAGTTTCATGACTAGCAAGAAGAATTTCTTCCAAGTGACTAGGAGGTGGAGTGCGACTCCTTGATCTATGGCGAGCACTTGCGGCTTCAGGATCGCCCAGGCGTTCTTCTCGAGGTGGGCCACCACCTTCGACGTCACGGCCTCCATCTGTGCCATGCGATGGCTCAGCATTTGAAGACCGTCCATCATCTGGTCCAGCTGACGTTGTACGTGATCTCCGGGATGGTTCGTCGGGAGGTTCCACTCCTCGCTCTCGTTGTCGGTCTCGATGTCGGGTTCCTTCACTGCCTCGGTGCTCGCTGAGGCCTTGGCTTTCGCCTTTGCGACTTCTCTTGGCACCTTGGTCATGTACCCTGCGGTCTTCATCTTCCCTTTTCCGACTTGGTGCTCCTTCAACTTCTCGATGCCCTGATCCTTCAGGGATTGCTCTGCCATCACGTCCACGAAATGGAGCCAGTGATTCCATCCTTCGGTCGGATTCACGTGGGACACGGTCTACTTCACGTAGGAGTAGTCTTTCTCCCAGACTTCGATGAACTTCTCTCCCTTGTGTTTCCCGAGCGGCAGAGTCAATTCCTTCAATTCCTCGAGAGTCATCTCTTGCGGCTCTTGATTTGGGATCCCTTCCAAGACCTTCAGCTTGGACATCAGGTCGAGATTCTTGGAGCGGTTCGACATGAATGCTGTCAAGCTCACGCGGATCGAGTGACTGTTCAAGGCTTGATCCGGGCAACGGTTCCTATCATGTTCAAACTCAAGTTGATTCGGATCAGCATGCCAAGCAAGATCATCACGCTCAGTGACATCCAATTCCAATTCAGGCGCTTCTCCCCGAAGGTCAAAATAGTGTTTCTTCGTTTTGATCAAATCTTCAAGTTGTGTGCTCTCACGCAATTCAAAAATGCGAGCGGATGTTTGATCACGAAAGGGGCCTGCAGTCGTCGAAGTGGAATGGCCTCTATTTGCCACTCCTCCTTTGGCATGTGAGCGTATTCGAGCTCATGCGCCAACCTTTAAAATGGTAAGTCGGCCGAATCCATGAAAGGGTAGTGTTCATCCATCTTCTTGTAAATTTCAAGCTTACGTTCATGATTCCCTTCATGGTCCGCCTTCTTGTAAATTGAGCATGTGTTGCTTGGCACGTAATCCCGATCGGGCGCGTGCCGAATCATAACCCTTCAACTCTACAAGATCTTCCTGCGTAAGCCAGGCACTTGTCGCCTGATTGATGGTGGGGTCTTTGACCTCCTGGGCAGGCAAATCTTCGTCTGCCCACTCAACTTCCTGGGGTGCCTCGCTCACTTCCATCTGCGTTCACACTGCCTCATCTTCGCTTTCGGGCTCACGTGGCTCCACAAAACTTAGAGGGATCTGCACTACCTCTCCGCTGTCGAGCCGCACTGTCACGGTTTCCTCTTCACTTTCCTCCTGCATCTCTTCATCCTCCGTGTTGCGATAGGGCCGCAAGTCAATCGGTCCATCGTCTCGCTCATTCTCCTCCTTGTAGGCCTTGATCTGGGTGTGAATTCGCCGCAAGTCGAAGTCCTTGTTGGAGCGCTGGATGTAGTTCCAGTGCTGCCAATCCTCTTCACTCACCTCTTCCTTGTCAATGTATCCTGGGGCTTTGATCAAACCTCGATGGATCTTCTGGCTGTAGCTCTTCATCTCCTTCATCTCTTCTCGCATGCCTTGCACATATGCCCTGGTGGACACTCCATTGACATAGGCACTGTCCTTGGCGTCGGCAATCTTTATCTTCAACTCCTCAACAATGCCCCATAGCTTGTACACCGCCCATGCCAGTGCTGCTATCATCAATGCCATAACCACCACAACCATCATCATAATGCCATTGTTCTTCTCCACCTTTTCCTCAAGACCCTCGGTCCTCGATGCCGTGGCCTGCTCAAGACCCCCAACGAGTAGGATCCTGTTCAGCAACTTTGCCAGCTTGTGGATCTTCACCCGGTTCACCCGGCTCTCTTCCATCTTGATGTACTCCTCCTCGCCAAGCTTCTCATCATCTCCACTGCGGGCGTTGCACCAATACAGGATCAGCATGATGCGGTTTCGTGATAGTGGTTTCGTGCCCAAGTCAGCCACATTGTGGAGAGTTCCAACTGCCTTGACTCGAAGCTCCTCCTGAGCCACCAAATCCTGAATCCACAGCAGTTTCCCTGCTATTTGGCGTAGTTTCCCTGGGCCTCGTCGGTGACAGAGATGTAGGGCTGCTGAGTTATCCACCAGACACTCATGAACCACGGCTTCATCCACCAGAAACTCCAAGCAACGCTTGAGATAGATCCCATCAGCTGCTGAGCTCACCAACGCATTGAGCTCTGCTTCGGCTGAAGATAGGGCCACACTTTTCTGCCCTCTTGAACTGGTGAAAATGACCACCCCGTTCAGCATGTGGATCGCGGCTGAAGTAGATCGTCGATGGCTCTTGGATCCCGACCAATCACTGTCGCTGAAGGTCTCAATGATCCATCTGGCCTCCATAGTGCGACAGTTGCCCTGGCTCTCCCATCTCTAGGATGCTATGCTGGCCAATCGTCCCCTTGAGGTAGCCGATAAGTTTTCCCAGTTTCCTCAAGCTGCTGGTCGTAGGAAATGACATAGTCGACGCCAGCTCCTTGATCGTGTAGGAGACATCCGGCCTCTCCTGTGAAAGGTATATCCCGCATCCAACCAGCGAGCGGTACAGGCTTGCCAATTCGGCTTTGAGCTCTACCGAACCATCAGCTTCCAGAACTTCAGGACCACAAGGCAGCTTCTGCATCTTCGCTCTGCCCATTTTCTCCTCATACATCTCGATCATGCTCTCGGCATACTT